AAAAAATCTGTATTGAAAGAATTATATAAGCCAAAGTGCATTTTTTGTTTTTTGTCCATATACACATTGCACCATACATAAATAATTACATTGTAAAAATGACTCCATAATTACAAGTATAATATATATTTTCATATAATATATAAAACTTTATATTAAATCTAGGTAGATGATATTTGGGATAGTCTGTGTCTTTTTTTTTTTTTTTTTTTTTTTTTTTTTTTTTTTTTTTTTTTTTTTTTTTTTTTTTTTTTTTTCCCCCCCCTCCGCCCACCCCCCCCCGCCTTCCCCTCCTGGCGTTGTCTTTCCTTTCGTCGAGAGGGCCGAGCGTCATCGGTTGTTGCTGAGCAGGATCTCCAGCCAACACGGGCAGGACGTGATGAACTGTCTGGAGTAGCAGGGCCCCCAGCCCTTGGCGAAGCTGATGCGGACGCTGTTGGGGTCGTAGGGCCCGTCCGCGTACTCCAGGTCGGCCGAGTGCTGCAGGAGGCACGACCTCTCGTAGTCGAACACCTTGATGGAGTAGCCCGGCATGACCTTGCGCACGATGAGGGTCCTGCAGTTGGGGATGTCCAGTGTCGGGGAGTTGACGAAGATGGGGTGCTCGCTGCGGTTGTAGGCCCACACGCCGTCCGGCTCCTTGCTGAGCAAGATCCCGTAGCCGATTTTACTTCGAGTCCTTCTCACAGTCTCGCTCCTGTTGTCCAGGTTTAGCTGTCCGAGGCAGAAGCCGTTTCCTTGAGGTAGGTCGTAGAAGATACTGACAGACTGTTCGTACACTGTGTAGAGGCGGCCCACGCGCGTCCGGTGCTCCCAGTAGGCCACGTTGCACCAATGGCTCCTCTTCACGGCGTCGGGCGACGTGCTGGCATCTGCGGGGGCAACACAGGACACTCCGTGACCACCTGGAAACGGCAGGTGTGGAGGGGAAGGAAAAGGTTCTTCCCACCCCATCGGCTTTGCTCGCGTGATAACTGAACTTGTGCTCAGCCCAGCGTTTGTGTTCAACACAAACTCCACACTCTGCCCAAAATTCGTGTTCGGCACAAGCTCCATGCTCTACCCAAAATTCATGTTCAATACAAACTCCATGCTCTGCCCAACATTCCTGTTCAACACTAACTCCATGCTCTGCCCAAAATTCATGTTCAATACAAACTCCATGCTCTGCCCAACATTCCTGTTCAACACTAACTCCATGCTCTGCCCAAAATTCCTGTTCAACACTAACTCCATGCTCTGCCCAAAATTCCTGTTCAACACAAGCTCCATGTTCTGCCCAAAATTCATGTTCAAACCAAAGCTTGTATTAAACCCCAAGTTTGTGCTCAACTGCTGTGGTGCTGCACCCTCGCTTTCAAAGCCCAGCTTGTGTTGAGCTGAGGCACAGGCATGTCCACAACACGCCTGGATGACTGACCCAACGTTATCCCCACTGTGTAAATATTCCTTGACAGTGACGCCGACGTTCCCACAGGGAATATGAAATCTGAGGAAGCACTTCATGCCAAGGGGGAGTAGCTGTTATGAACTACACATGTCCTCCTAAAAACCCACTGGAAGCCTCTCCAGACAACAAGAAACATCTTTCTAGGAATCACATTTGGGGCAAGGGACAGACACTGCCAGAAAGCTGTTTAATCCACGATGCCTCCACAATTAATGATGTCTCCAGAAGGAAGACGGGAACTCTCAGCCCTGAAAGAGCCCCCAAGAGGGCGAATTAACCTCTTGCTGAGCATCATTCCTGCTCCTACCACGCCAGCTAACAGAAAAGCAGCCTGGAATTCCAAGCCAGGAGCTCTGCTCCAAGCTCCGCGCCCGGCATTAAGCTCCCTGACAATCCCTCGCGCGCCCGCGGCCCGCTGACCCCGGTGCCTCCGTGCCATCACGTCCCATTAACTCACCCATGGGGTGATGCCATTATTTTGCTCCAGAGAGCCCATTGACACACCGGATTTCAGGCACGGCCCCTCCAGCCCCGCTTCTGTTCGGGCTCAAATTACCCCTCCCCAGCAACCAGCTCTGCATTAAGAGGCTTTGCCGGATTTCACTTGAGTCGTAACTACACAAATTTAAGGGGAGGTGGGGGAAGGGGGTCACTGGGAAGTCCATTGCTGTGGGGCGGCGCTCGTCATCTTGAACCAACCCCTTCACAGCTCACAGATTTGGGAGGGATCATCTCGGTCCCGTGGGCAGGGACACCTCCCGCTAGACCAGGTTGTTCAGAGATCCATCCATCTCCCACAGCATCCAGTTTCCACAGTCATCTTTCCCACACAGACGCTCCCAAAAGTCTCCTCAAGCACCAAACTTTGCTGTTGTCCCACTCAAGTGATCTGGGGGGGGGGGGGGCACAGCCCAGCTCAGGGTCTTTCATCTGGGGGCTGGTAGCAATTACCGAGCTCTGCATCTGTTTAACCTCCCAACCCCCTCAAAGCCCTCCATTGCCCATTAGCTAAGCTGGGCTTGTTATTACATTTTTTAGGAACTACCACTCAGCCCCTGAATTTCCCTTCCAGACCAAGGATGGGACAACTTCAAAACTCCCAGTTTCCCCATCAGATGAATTAATCAGGGGAACAGGCAGCAATAAACATTTAAAGAGGTGTTTCCCAGGGTTTACTGCAAATTAACATATGAGGGGGGAAAGCAAAGCAGTTTTCAACCTGTGTCTGTCCTGCAAGAACATCTCTCTGGAGGTGCCACCAGCCCCGGTGTCATCTCCGCTTTCCAGAAAACGGCAAATACTTTGGCAAAATCATCCATGAAAACAAAGGGAGGCTTTTTTACACCTCCTGCTTTTGTGCATCTGAAATAGCTTCGTTAAAACCACTTCTGTGCCATTTGTGGCAGGAGCTTCAGTCCATCCATCCATCCATCCATCCATCCATGAATGCACCCCCCTGCCAATGTGCTCCTCATGTCTGTCATCCCATCCCAGCTCCTGCCTGGCAGTGACAGCTCTGCCAGCTCCAAGCACTCCTGGAGGAGCCCTGTGCTCCTTCAAACACGTGAGGACATCTGAGGTAACTCCACCTCAAGCAGCGAGAAGTTTCCTTTCCACCCCACCTTTCCTGGCTGGTGGGGAGAAAGGCTTTAAAATCCACTCACCAGATGCAAAAGCAACGTGCCTGTGACCCCCCAGGCAAACAAAACCCCCCAAAAGGAGACACTAAAAGGCTCATCTGAGAATGCTCTGCCTGCACGAACTGTCGGGAGGGTCCCTCTTCCAGCGCTCCCCGTGCCGTGGTGGGCTCCTCTCCCTCCTCTCATCTCCCAGCGCACTCAACCAAATCCTGCAAAGATGAACTCATCCCACAGCCCTGACATAAAGCAAGCACTCCAGCAAGCCCCCAGACCAGGGGGGCCTGTGCTGTGTCTCATCCCCTGCCAAGTATTAGTTTCGCCTCCAGCCATCAGCCACTACCACTCAGCAGACAGCAGGGGTGGCCGGCACAGAACCACGTCCTCTGCCTTCTAAATAAATATTCCACTTTTTTCCTCCTTTTT